AGTGACCTGAGCTTCCATCCTGGGAACCTGCATAAAGGTAAAAGGAGAAAACTAACTCCTAAAACTTGCCCTCTGAGCACTACACATGTGCCACGGCATACAGGCATGCATGCACAACACATACTAAATAAATAAATATTAAAAAGGAAGAAAAGATTTGGGCTGGTGAGATAGCTTAGTGGCAATGGCACTGATGACCTGAGTTCAGTCCCTGAACCCCACATGATGGAAGGAAAGAATCAACTTCCACATGTTGCCCTTTGACCTCCACAGGATGCATGTTCAACACCCTTCCAAATAAATATAAGCTTTTCAAAAAGCTTGGATTTTAGTAAGGTTTTATGTTTGTCTGTTTCTCTTTAGATTTAGGGCACTGGTTGTATTTTGTTACATCATTTCCCTGTTTATAATGTCCTTATTGCTGGACAATAACCATTTGCTACTTCTCTGAGCAAGGATTATCACTGGTAGGTTGTGTCTCTTCCTGCCACAATCTGACTCAGTCTTCATATTCTGTCTTGATCTTTGTTTAAATATTCTGAGCTGACTTCTCAGACATGCATGATGTCATCTGACTGGGCTATTGCATGCAGAGCAGCCTGGACACCTGCTCAAGCTCAGTCAACATGTCTTCCAGAGCTGAAAGGCTTCCTTCACCTGCCTGCTCCCTTCAAACATGGCATTTCTTCAGGGTTTCTCTTTGAAGCCACAGCTTTTGCTCTATTTCTCTCTTTCTCTCAAAAAAAAAAAAGGTGAGCTCAGGAAGCCTGAGCTTCTCTTACATTCTGCCCTGAGCCCAGGAAGCCCGAGCTTCTCATACATTCTGCCCTGCGCCCAGGTGACCCTCTCATGTTCAGGGGCTTTCACTGCCATTGTCTGCCTATGCAGTGATGGACACTGCAACACCTCTTTCTTCTTCCTCTACCAACTTTCAGCAGCACAGTTCTGCTCTTAATCCAGTTCTCAGAGTTAATCCCCACTCCCCACTTTTGCATTTCCCAAAGGGCTCTGATTCTGAGGATATCTGGTTTTCCAGGTGTCTCTATTATCTCACACTGGTGGGTTTCTTTCCCTTCTATCCCTGCACTCTTCCTGTGGTATTGGTCCAGTCTTTGGCTCTCACTACATCCTGGAGTCTTTGGGTCTCACAAGCTCATGGATTACAGAATGTGCAGTTGATTCTTCTGTGTTCATTTGTTACTTGGTATGGTTTTCAGAAAGGAAGACATTTGGGCCTCATCTGTGGCAAAGTGCCTTTTAGAAGTCAATTCTGGATTTTCATTGTTAGTTATTTAGCGGTGCTCTTACCCTGCGAGGAAATGTCACGAAACACGACAGAATCCACTAACAAGAGTTTTATTAAGATAAAAGAGACAGATGAGTGCTCAGGCCTGTGGAGAGACACGCATGTGGGGAAGAAGAAGGAGAAGGAGGAGGAGAAGAAGAAGAAGAAGAAGCTGGGAATATGGCGCTGGTTTATAAAGGCGTACACAGGTCAACGTAGCTACTCCATGCATGAGATCACATGGCTGTGTTGCGCACTCTTACTTAACCATGCAAAGCCACGGGGTCCTGGTCACACAAGATGCCTTGACCAGGAAATGGCTATTTTGACCTGGAACTGGCAAGGCGGAAGTGTCTAGGTCTGCAAAAAACATGCCCAACCATGGGAGCGTATTGTGAATCCATCATTCATGCCTTTAAAATATACCTTGTGTAGCCAGGCGGTGGTGGCGCACGCCTTTAATCCCAGCACTCAGGAGGCAGAGGCAGGCAGATCTTTGTGAGTTCGAGGCCAGCCTGGTCTACAGAGCGAGATCCAGGAAAGGCGCAATGCTACACAGAGAAACCCTGTCTCAAAAAACCAAATATATATATATATATACCTTGTGTAGCTGGATGACGGTCTGAGGATAAGGCATTCAATATAGACTCATAGTTTAGCCCAGTAGAACAAAAGAGGCTCATTGTAGCCTTCTTAATGTATTGCATTTAAGACTTGCCAACAGTAGTTCTTTTTGCTAAAATAAACAGAAAGAATGATATTTTAAATTAATTAGTTTTATATTTCTGGAAATTGAGGCTGGGGTCATGCACATTCTAGAACACTCTACCTGAGGTGCATCCCTGAGGAGGGAAGTATAGGTACTCTACAACTTACTCTGGTGTTTGGTCCAATAAGGCATTGTAAATTGAAAACATCATTCTGAAAATTTACCTGACCTGCTGAATATCATAGCTTCACATAGCCTCCCATGCACAGGTTCAGAGTACTTAACCTGGACTATAGCTGGGCAAAATCATCTAACCTAACAAAACCTACTTAATAATAAAGTATTGATAATCTTTCACATTTGTTGAATATAGCGTTTTTCAGTGTTCTTTCGGGGACTAGGTGCAGGACCCTCACAAGTCCCTTACATAAAATGGTACTATATTTGCACATTACCTACACATCCTGTTTTCCTTAATTATCTGCCAATTGATTGCAATGCCTCATTTAGTGGATGTGCTGTGTAAATATCAGTTACAGTGTATTGCTTTGAAAATAATAAGCGGGAAAAGTTTGTACAAGTTAATACAATTTTTTTCCTAAATATTTTCAGATCTGTGGTCAGTTCTCAGCCTAAAACTCCAAGAGTGTAGTCAGCACACTGCACCTATGACCACAGAGACCCCTGGAAGCACAGCAACTGTGAGCCATTATTGTGACTGGAGGCTGAGCCTTGCTCTTTCTGCCAAGCATGGGCCAGGGGTCTGTGTTCAGACTGTCCTACTGATAGCTTAGGAAAAGACCCAAGTGTAGTGTCTGCTGTATGACTCTGTCACAGTACTGCAGCAGCCCAAATTGAATGACAAACCATCATAAGCCAGAGACCTATTTCTTGGCCATAGCTACCTGGACAGAGTTAACACCATTCTATCAATGTTCACTGGCCCAAGACAGCTCCCTTTGGCTTCCCCCAAGAGCACTTCTACAACAGAATTTCACTTTGTAGGCCTCCTACCCAGTACTCTAGACAGAAGAAGTAGAAGCCCAGAGCCTTGAGCTTCCACAGTGCCTCTTTTTTTTCCCCCTAGAACTGAGGACCGAACCCAGGGCCTTGTGCTTGCTAGGCAAGCACTCTACCACTGAGCTAAATCCCCAACCCTAAAATTTATTTATTTTTTTTATGTGTATGAGTGCTCTATGTACATGTATGACTTTGTGCCAAAGAGGGCATCAGATCCCACTATAGATGGTTGTGAACCACCATGTGGTTGCTAGGAATTAAACTCAGGACCTTAGGAAGAGCAGCCAGTGCTCTTAACCACTGAGCCAACTCTCCAGCCCAACAGTGCCTCTTTCCGACTCACCTGCACTAGCAGCCCTGCCCGACTTTTACCTCTCATCCTGGGAGAGATGTCCCTTTTCTCCAAGACTACAATCTTTCTATAGCTCCTATCTTTCATCTCTTTGACTTTTAAAACTTCACCAGTAATCTTTGCCTCTTCAGCTTTCATTTACAAATAAACTTACCTCTTCATCCCAAAACAGAACCAACGGACCACACACATTCCTTGTCTCTTGCCTCTTCCTCTGGGCAGTACACAGCCTCTACCCCACGCATGGGCCACCAATGTACTTGCCGGGCCCCCTCCACAATGGACACTGCTGTCACTAAGAGAAAGCCAACGCTGCCGCAATGACTGGAGCCGAACACTTCCTACTCTAAACCCCATCAAGACACGATACTCAGTATCTTGACTTCTAGAAAAAGCAATACAATCTCACTGGTCTTTTGCCGTTAACTCAGTTCTCACTCTTCATTGGGCTTCTATCTGCTCTCATAGCACAACTTTATTTTGCCATCTGCTTTTGAGCTCAAATCTGAGGCAAAAGACAACTAGTATTTTTTTTATTTTATTTTTACACCTTTTCTACTTATGGCAATGTTCAAATGTAAGCAATTACAAGTCATTTAGAATATTATTGCTTAAAAATTTTTACTTCAATTTGTAAAGTTTATGTGAAAGTGCTTACAAATGATATTTTCTTATGGACTGGAAGAGAAAACAACCATTCTTTTAAAAAGTGTTGATTTTGCCGGGTGGCGGTGGTGCACACCTTTAATCCCAGCACTCGGGAGGCAGAGCCCCGAGGATCTCTGTGACTTCAAGGCCAGCCTGGCCTACAGAGCGAGTTCCAGGACAGGCACCAAAACTACACGGAGAAACCCTGTCTGGAAAAACCAAAAAAAAGTGTTGGTTTTGTTGTTTTGTTGCAGGCAAACTAAAGCTTGAATTTAGGTGAGGGAGATGTGACACATGAGAATTTACAGAAAAAGAATGTGGCGTGTCTATAGTGGCATTCTTTTTTGGAAAACTACTTTATCAGTGACTGTTTGGTTTCAAACCCTGCACAAAAGGCTGAGGTACCTGTTTAACATATCAAAGCGTACGCTGGCCAGCTAGTTCCCCCAGTATCCCTCAGTTCCTTCCAACCTGTTACTGGGCTCTCCGGGTTGAACACCCTACCCCCTTCCCTAAATTCTCCAGCCCAGAGGCTGGGCTGTCCTTCCTCCAGCGGCTCCTCCCTATATAATCCAGCCATTTTGGTTATCCCTCCTCTTTGGGGCCTCCTGGCTGCTGCACCTACCTAGTTCTCTCTCTCTCTCCTCTCCCTTCCCCTACTCTCTCTCTACACATGGCTCAGGGTCATGTCCATTGTGGACTCTCCCAGATGTCCTTCACCATACCTAGGAGCAGTCATATCTCTCTCTCTCTCTCTCTCTCTCTCTCTCTCTCTCTCTCTCTCTCTCTCTCTCTCTCTCTCATTCAGTAACAAATCCGACTACAGCAATATTATGGAGATGATACAGTAGTCCAGGAGCCCAGAAAGGGGACACAGAACCATAAAGGTTGGTTCCCATCAGTGATGTCCATGAGGTCTTAGGAAAAGCACTTCAGGTTGAAGTTCTCAGTAACTTTATTTTCTAAAAATATGCCCTAGGGGTATGTTTTCTTCCACAACATCCTTTAAAAATAAACAGAAACAAAAAGCTTATCTCAGCACAGGCTGGATGGAGTCAGGCCAGTGCCGCTCGGAAAGCGTTCAGGTCCCTCAGGAGCAGATCTGCACCCGGCCTCTGCAGGGCGCGGGCCTCCCAGCAGCTCCGGAGGATGCGCTGCAGCGACTGCCCCGTCGGGGAGGCGGTGAACACGGCCCCCGCCAGCGACGGGCGCAGATTGTAGGCCACCACCGCGTACTGCACGCACTGAGGCTCGCCAGAGTAAGGCACCTCCCTGGTGGTCATCTGCCAGAGGGTGATGCCGAAAGAGTAGATGTCGGCTTTGGGCGTGGCGGTCTCTCCTTTCAAGAGCTCGGGAGCTTGGTGCGTGTAGGTGCCTCCTATGTGGTGAGGGGGCGCCTGCCTGCACCACAGATCTTGCAGCTTCTGGGAGCAACCGAAGTCACTAATCTTACAGACGTCCTGCTCACTGATCAAAATGTTCGCTGGTTTCAGATCCAAGTGCAAAATGCTTTGTGAGTGGAGGAAAAGTAAGCCGTTAACAATATCTAGGGAATACTTAAGGCACTTCCCCAAACTCAGTTGCTCTCTGCTGCAGCTTAGAGGCCCTGGAGAGCGGGTGACACCATAGATGACTTGGTGTAGAGTTACATTGCCCCCAAACTCCATGATTATGGTACCCAGGCTGTTGGAGCCCTTGGGCGTGCGCGTGCTGGCAGCCACAACCCGGACTATGTTGTCGTGGCGCAGCCTTGCAATGTTGAGTTCAGCCCAGAAACTCCGCTGGGATGCACGTAGGTTTTTGGTGCACTTGTTCACTTGCTTTATGGCCACAGGAACACCGTGGTAAGTGGCTTTGTACACAGAACCAAACCCTCCAGAGCCCAGCCTGTGCAGCAGGCATACCTGTTCCCAGTCGATGGAGCACCAGGCCAGCCGGCGAGGCAGCCGCGGGGCCCGAGGAGGAGTGGCCCCCAGAAAGAGCTTCTCTGCCTTCCTCGGGACCACCAAGGGGCTGCTGCAGGGCCGTGAGTCCACCGACGGCGACAGCTCACCAGGGAGGTATCGACACAGGGCTAGAGGCGATGGCATCACACCTTCAAGTGGGAGAGGCACCAGGGGCACTAGGGAGAAATGATTAGGAAGAACCAGGAGAGTTTGGAAGCATGGCTGAAGATTCCTGCCTTCGCCCTAAGCCCTTTCGCTCCTTCCTTGTATTCTCAAAATGAGCCACATCTGCGCTATCACTCAGCGAGATGGGGGCGGGGGAAGATGAAGCATGGCTGTCTCTTTCAGATGAAACCATTGCTCTCTCACAGTTAAAGTGAATCCTTGGGAAAACGACCTCTCACTGGCTAAAGAGCACTGGCCTGCCTCAAGGCTCACCTCTCCTTTAAACTATGTCTTTAATCATGATACAATGAGAACGATTTTCAAATACCATCTGATGAGCATTAGTCGGTCCCTAGATTGAAGAAGGGGGAAAAAAGCACAGTGAACTTGGTGCACTTTTCAGGCTATAATGATTGTTAGTGCTGGTCTCCAGCTGCATTAAATCACTCCCAGCAGCTATTGGCTGCAAGAGCTGCCATACAAACAGCAGACATTTGTTGAACTACTTGCCAAGATCATTAGGTGCAACCTTCATAAGAATTAGAAATTGTAACTTTGATATCATTCATTGATCCAAATAGAATCAGTGATGCAAGTCAACACACACCACCTCCTAAGTTCATCAGAGCGGGATTCTGATGCTGTATTCCATTTTTATAGCAAGATAACAAGACTTCCTAGCAACACCCCGACTTCCTACCTGTCCTTCCTTTCAGGTCAGGTCACCCCCAGCTTGCAAGACAGATTCTAGACCATAGCCAACAAGTGACTGGAATTTAACACAGAGTTGGAGGGAGGAAAAGGTGATTTTGATGTGATTGTGATGACCATAGCTGTAAATAACAGCAAGCATAGGAAAACCAGGAGACACAGACATGGCACAGAATCACTGGGATCCAGCTACAATATAGAAAGTCAGGTACTGAACATAAATTCAGGGTCTGGCCACCAAATCACAGATTCATCTTATCTGATTTTTGTAATAAAGCATTCATTTTCATGCCATATCTTTGGGGGAAAAGAAGAGAGCAACAATCTTGCCCTGTCATTCAAAACAATCCCTGAAAGTGTCCTTCAGTGCAGCACCAGAATTCTCCCCTCTGATGAACTTAGGAGGTGTGCGGAGTTTAACTTGTATCACTGATTCTATTTGGATCAATGACACTAAAGTTACAATTTTAATGCTGAAGGTTACACACTACCACACTACACTTTTCAGCTGCTTAGTAAAGGTTTTTGTTTTTTGTTTTTCTTACAGAAGACAAGTGACCACTTTTTATGTGACAGCTATGTGATTCTAATTTTAGAACTACAGGTTTTGAGATGGCAAATTAATAAAAGAGAGCCATTTCTATAAACAATTCAAAATTCATACAACTCCAAGTTTCTACTTGATGGTAATAATATCATTTAGTCAAACCCCAAGTTGTGCCAAACCCCAAATAAAAAAGGAAAAATAGTGAGCATGGCAAAATTTAAAAGTACCAAAATGAGGTGGTTGGTGGTGACACACGCCTTTTATCCCAGCACTCGAGAAGCAGAAGCAGGTGGATCTCTCTGAGTTCAAGGTCAGCCTGGTCTATAGAGCAAGTTCCAGGATATCCAGGGTTGCACAGAGAAACCTTGTCTCGAAAAACCAAAACCAAAAAAAAAAGACTGCTGAAATTATACTACATATTTCCTCAATAGCTAACACATAGATAAAATTACAGCTCTGAATTCTGAACTGTGGAGTTTAGGAGGGTAAGAATAATAGGGTGCCTCAAACTTCTGGGGTGTCACATAAAATACATTATTATGCAATTTATTATTTTGCAAGTTTCAGTTTTAAGACAACCTCATAAACAATTCATTTCTAAGGTCCAGTTTACTATTGACTCCAAATGCAAGGTATTGGTGAAAGTATGACTTACATTGTACGCACAAATCTCAAGTTCACTGCTTCCACCACCCGCCCGTCTACTCAAGTTTAACAGAATGTCCACTCACTACTACTTGTTTCCTTTTATACTACATTTTAAATTGCAAATGAGTTATATCCTAATAAGCCCATCATAGGTTGAAAATACCAATAGGTGGAAAACGAATTTATTAAATGTGTTACCTACCAAATATCAGAGATGGTTATTAACTCCCATGAGAGTGATACAGGACATCCTTAGCTCAGGAAAGGTCTGTTGAGTGCGTATGGATGTTACACAACTGTAAAGTTAAAACACTGTAGTTTGTAGTCATAAATCAAACCATAAAAAGCTGGGAGATGAGCTATATTACACTTCTTTCTACATAAGCTGCCATTACTCTAAACAGATTTACCACCATTACCAATTCCCCCCCTCCCTTTTTTTTTCCGAGACAGGGTTTCTCTGTGTAGCTTTGTGCCTGTCCTGGAACTCACTCTGTAGACCAGGCTGGCCTCGAACTCACAGAGATCCTCCTGGCTCTGCCTCTCGAGTGCTGGGATTAAAGGCATGCGCCACCACCGCCCGGCTCTACCAATTTCCTTTTTTATAACATGTAAGTTCTTATGATTTTTTTTTTTTTTTTTTTTTGGTTTTTTGAGACAGCGTTTCTCTGCGTAGCTTTGTGCCTTTCCTGGAGCTCACTTGGTAGCCCAGGCTGGCCTCGAACTCACAGAGATCCGCCTGTCTCTGCCTCCCGAGTGCTGGGATTAAAGGCGTGCACCACCACCGCCCGGCGAGTTCTTATGATTTTAATTAACTTTATTTAATGCTGACTTTGTGTCCATGTGTATATAATATTTTATTTTTAACCTATGATGGGTTTATCGTGGTGTAACCCGTTTGTAGCTTAAAATATCTATACAAGGAAACAAGTAGTGAATAGTGGACATGCATTAAAAAACTTGAGTAGACGGGCGGGTGACAGAAGCAGTGAACTTGAGGTTTGTGCGTACACTGTGAATCATATTTTCACCAATACCTTGCATTTGGGGTAAATAGTAAACTGGACTTTACAAATATTTACAGATCTCAGGAGTGGATAAAGCTGGGGTATGGAGATAAGGTACAAATGCTCTGGGGTTAGGCAGCTGGGGCTGCTTACTGCCCCATTTCAGTTTCCACCCCGGGAAAAGGTGGTAAACACACCCAACCTCGGGTTTGTGAGGAAGACTTAGACTTTCAAATTCTCCTTCGCTCAGGATTTATGATAGATGGCACTTAACTACTAATTATTATTTATGAAACTCAGAAATAAAACTCTGGTGTGTGGGGGCTTATACCATGTAAGGAACATAGATGTGTTAAAAGCACTAGTTTAAAATAATCCCCTGGGGTTAAATTCATTTTATTGTAAGTTAAGAGTTTAAAGTGTGTTTCCTGGCACTTTCGTTTTGAAGTTAAAGCTATAAAAGCACATCATGTTATCCATAGATGCCCAATCCAATGGAGCGTTCACTTTATCTGATCAAATGCAATAAGGCTTTGCAAGCTCCAAAGGAAAAAGGCAACCCTTGAAGGTCAAGACAGGTACGACTTGGGTTGTAAAGGACCGCTCCTGGAAGGGTGCACATCCTCTGTCCCCCAGTTCCAGGCTTGGGGACCTGCAGACACCAGCGGTTTATCAGCTGTGACACGGGAGGGACTCTTGCGCCCCGGAGCCCCTCCGGCGCATCAGCCGCCCCGTCGCGGCCGACTGCCTTGCCTTCCCGCTCCCGGAAGTCGGGCGGCGGCGCCGTCGGACCCTCCCGGGGGCTGCAGCCGGGCGTGGGGCAAGGGTGAGGCCTCGGCGTCTCCAGAGGACCGGCCACCGAGGGCGCCCCGCCCTGCCCCGCAGCCCGGCGCGTCCCCGCAGCCCGGCGCGTCTCAGGGTGGTCGCGTAACCGTAGGGAGACATTTTAAAAAGGCTTTGAAATTCCACAGACGTCACGACGAGACCCAAGACCCACGGGGTGGGGGAGGCCGGGCGGGTACCGCCACGTTCGCGCACGCGCACTCCTGAACAAGGCTGTTCAGGGAGCTGGGGGAGGAGAGGGGGCGGGGCGGGGGAGGAGGTGGGGAGGGGCGGGGCGGGGGGAAGAGGGGGGTGAGCAAGGGGCGGGGGAGAAGGTGGGGGGAGGGGCGGGGCTGCTTCGGTTTGCTCAGGTTACATCCAGCCGGATTTCCGAACGGCGAAATTGGAGCTCCTGGTGGTTCTCTCCCTCCCCCACCCCCCATTTACAAACGCGAATTAAGGTCGAAAATTTACTTTTGACTTGAAAAAAGACCCAAACGTTAAAACATAGACAAATACGTATCTAAGATTTTCGAGTCAAACTTGAAAATACATCACTGATTTCTCAATTTATTTATGGCAAGCATTATGCTACTTACATTCTTCTGAAATTTGAATTTTGTTTTTTCTTTTTTTCCGGAGCTGAGGACCGAACCCAGGGCCTTGCGCTTGCTAGGCAAACGCTCTACCACTGAGCTAAATCCCCAACCCTGAAACTTGAATTTTATACCTAGTAATAGAACACTGACTTGTTTCTGTATCTGTGAAGTACACATAGAATTACTTCCATTTCCCTGTGATCAACTTCGAATTTCAGAGCTTGATCCACAAAAAGCAAGTCCCTGGGTGAAACTTGTGTACAAGACTCGATTCTGTCCCTTATAGAAGGGGTACCCGCTACCATTTGGGCTGACCACTTGGATTTTTTATTTTAACTCTGAAAATATATATCATATATGCATATATATACATATATATATTTAAATGCCTTTCCACTTGATAAGATTTCAATACAGTCAGATATTTTTATAACGAAACTTGCTATAGAAACTTTAGTTTAATGATATCTTGCAATCTTTTCATCCTCTTGAACACAAGCTGCTCATGGATATTTGAAAGTGCATCGGACTGAAATGTGGCTCTTGTTATTGTGTTTATCACAGCTTAAGAGAACACTCTGTTGGCATCTTTCTTTGAGCCAGAAAGCATTATGCATTTAATACTTATAAAGCCTATATTTCTCACTGATGGTAAGTGAATCAAAATAATAACACTTTGAATTAAAGGATTCAAAACTAATACAGGCTATTCAATTTATCTTCTTTATTCAACTCTATGCTTTTTGTCAATATGGGCTCATGACCCTTCTTCATGCATTCAATGTGATTTAATGAA